AGGTACTGATGCGATCATGTCACAAATGGAACCTTGTTTAGGTCGCAAGTATAATGTTACTACTTTTTTACAAATGTATATATGGCAACAAAACTTTTGCAAAAGAAAACATCAAATATTGGAACAGTTAAGCATAATAGAAAAAAAATTCCAGTATTTGATCTACTTTCTCTTTACAATACAACTTTCTACAAAAATAGACCATTGAGTTTGATTGTCTACCATGCAAAGAGGAAGAAAACTGTTATTTTATTATCAACAATTCATAAAGGGGCGAATAAGTAAAGTGATGGGAAGAAAAAACTAGAGGCAATACTTTATTACAAATGAAATAAATGTGGATATGTTAGATTCAATGTGTTGACAAATGTCAACATAATCTGAGTGCAAACGCTAGCCGTAAGCGGTTTTCTTCAATATTTTGGACCTGACCGGTGTAAATGCTTAGATCATTTTTTAAAAAGTTACACAACAAAAAATTTCAAGATAAAAGTTGCTTTACATTTTACCTGAACAGTTAAGAGAAGCAAATATTACTCCCTAGTTGCTGCCAACAGTAATACACAAATATCAACCCGTTTGAGATAAAAACAGACTGCAAAGTAATGTGATATCAACAGCAGTGCCGCCACGAGGAGAGAGGGTCGCGAGGGGCAGCTTGTCCCGGGCAGCAGATATCCAAGGGCCGCGAAATAAAAAGAAGGTATCTAAATAAAAAAAAGGTCTTTTATATATAATATAGGGAAATTTTTGTAAATAAGGGCGCCAATTGGGATTGCTGTCCCAGGCGACGTAACGGCTCTCGGCGGCCCTGATCAACAGTATGTGCAAATTGTATGTAACCTTTTTGTGGAAAGTGCTTGTCAAATATATGCAAGCATTGCAAATAAACTTAATTACGTGACTAAATTTGTTATGTATATGCACATTCTCTATAAGGTGGATCAATTGATCCACCTCAGGGATTTACTTATAAACATTTATAACCGCATCTCTGAATGTGTTTTTTTATGTAGTTTATCCGCTTTTCAGTAAATAATAACAAATTAATGAAAGTCATAAAATATCATTTTATCAACATGAAAATTTATGCTTCAGCAAAGTGTCAAAGTCATGTTTGGATCAATTGATTCACCTTGGGGCTTCTAGTGTTAAAACAGGACAAAAAATTTTTTTTTTTTTTTGATGTTGAATAATTATTTTAAGGACACTAGTTACACTTAGGAAAAATTACTCGATAGATTTTTAAACATTTATTTACAATTGTCAGACCTTATTTTTAAGTATTTTTAAGTAATTTTGAGTAAAATTAAAAAAAAAAAATCAGTAAGTGATAATAAAAAAAAAGAAAAAAGTTAAAAGCTTGCATGAATAAATAATATTAAAACGTACTCTAATCGATTCACTTAATAAATTATAATAATTTGTTCAAATTATTGTAATAATGTAAAAAGTCACTCGAAAATTTGATTAGTTTGAAATTTGCTCAATACAAATCTTACATAAAAAAAAGTCATAAGTTCAAGCGTTCATGATCTGGTTTTTTACCTGGTTTCTGCTGTTGTAACTAATAAGCGCAAAAGGGCTCAAAACAAGAGATTATAGGTTCTAAAAGGTTAAAGGTCCTATCCTAAAAAAATACGTGGATAAGATGGACCATAGTCTCTTTTATACATTTCCACCAAAAAATATTTTATAATGTCTTTTTTCATTTTTGTCATGTCTAATTTTAAAAATTCGCGTTATTACTTAAATCGCAATAGCTTATCAAAGTTTCAGTTAAATAAATAATATTAAAAACATATTTAGTTTCTCCTAATAAGTAAAGAAGCGCTTCAAAGTTGTGACTATGCTTATTATATTTACAAGAAGGATTTTAATTTGTTCGCTGTTATTGGAACTAAAAAGAGATCCTTTTCACTTGAATAATAGTAAAAGCAATCATTATTTAAATCATGAAATTAATTCTCATGATTAAATTATTATTTCATTTTCGTCTTTTCTATATTTATATCTATTAAAGTTTTCATTTTATCAAAATAAAAAGCTTGCTGTTTAAAATTGCTAACTTGAGCCGTTCCTGTGGGAGTTATAGAATCTCCTTCTATTTCCGCCACTTGTTATTTTATTATGCATATCATTAACAAAAATTTTTATCAAATTTGATTACTTACCCACTTTATGATGCCTTTTAATTTCTTCGCACATTTTTTTACGATTTCCCAGGGTTTCTTTCGTTTAATCTTTATTGATAAAAAGTGCAGTGCTTTTAAGTTTTTTCAAGTTAAAATTTTGTATTTATCATTACAATTTAGGAGTTTGAGAACTATAGTTGTGGTAGATTGTCTTAAATTCTTCCTTTTCAAAGGTGGATTAATTGATCCACCTCAGGGATTTACTTATAAATATTTATAACCCTATCTCTGAATGTGTTTTTAATGTAGTTTTTTCGCTTTTCAGTAAATAATAACAAAATAATAAAAGTCATAAAATATCAATTTATCAACATAAAAATTTATGCTTCAGCAAAGTGTCAAAGTCATGTTTAGATCATCTGATCCAGCTCGGGGTATTTAGTGTTAAAACGGGACAAAATTTTTTTTTTTTTTTTTTTTGATGTTGAATAATTATTTTAAGGACACTAGTTACACTTTGGAAAAATTACTCGATAGATTTTTAAACATTTATTTACAATTATCAGACGTTTTTTATGTATTTTTGAGTAATTTTAAGTTAAATTAAAAGGTCCTATCCTAAAAAAACACGTGGATAACATGGACCATAGTCACTTTTATACATTTCCACCAAAAAATGTTTTATAATGTCTTTTTTCATTTTTGTCTATTACTTAAATCGCAATAGCTTATCAAAGTTTCAGTTAAATAAATAATATTAAAAACATATTTAGTTTCTCCTAATAAGCAAAGAAGCGTTTCAAAGTTGTGACTATGCTTATTATATTTACAAGAAGGATTTTAATTTGTTCGCCGTTATTGGAATTAAAAAGAGATCCTTTTCACTTGAATAACAGTAAAAGCAATCATTATTTAAATCATGAAATTAATTCTCATGATTAAATTATTATTTCATTTGCGTCTTTTCTATATTTATATCTATTAAAGTTTTCATTTTATCAAAATAAAAAGCTTAGTGTTTAAAATTGCTAACTTGAGCCGTTCCTGTGGGAGTTATAGAATCTCCTTTTATTTCCACCACTTGTTATTTTATTATGCATATCATTAACAAAAATTTTTATCAAATTTGATTACTTACCCACTTTATAATGCCTTTTAATTTCTTCGCACATTTTTTTACGATTTCCCAGGGTTTCTTTCGTTTAATCTTTATTGATAAAAAGTGCAGTGCTTTTAAGTTTTTTCAAGTTAAAATTTTGTATTTATCATAACAATTTAGGAGTTTGAGGACTATAGTTTTGGTAGATTTTCTTAAATTCTTCCTTTTCAATGGACTCGCTCAATCACTATATCATTGCCAATTCCAAGTTGGTTTCTAAAGATATTTTTAACTGCTATTGCACAGTCATCCCACGTTTATCACATTCCATTAAAGATAATTGTATAACCTATTGTACATAACACGTTCTAGTATTTTTGAAAGTGTGTAGAGGAAAGAGATAAGACGATAATTATTGATATTTGTTTGATCACCTTCTTTTACAATTAGAACAACTTTAGCAACTTTAGCAAGATAGTTCAGAAGATAGTTCAGAAGATAATACAATTATCCATTTGCAATCAAAAATCTCTAAATGTTGCATTTGTATAAGAAACTTTTTTTTGCAAGTATTGGACCGATTTCAACAAAGAATTTATTAAATTCATGAGCTATATATTGTTCGCCTTTATCTTTGTTATCAACTATATTCGTTTGGGGGAGGGAACCTGAGCATCTTTTTTGTCTACCACTAATTTCATTCATTATTTGGCAAGTGCTTTTTGAGTTATTTTTAATTTTATCAAATAGATCAAAGAACATTTTTCAAAATAACTTTCAAACAACTAGATTGACTTGGAAAGTACCGGTAAAAGTGAGATACGACGTCTTTACACAATCAGTAACATGAAATCAAAAACCACTACACCAAAAAATTTTAAAGTATTTGCAGTTAAGTGCAAAACTTAAAAATTTTAATCATAGTATATTGGTGTTAGCATAAAAACACTACATAAATCTTTTTTTAATATAAACTTTTTTTCAATTTTGTTGTATAGGCAGGTTTGGCGCTTAACCATCCATATCATCCGCTGAGATCAGTATGCATTTTTAATGCAAGAGCTTCCTCTACACTCTTATTAATGGGAAAGGTTTTATCCAAAGTTTCATCAACTTTTTCTATCTCTAAAACATTAGATATATTGTTTTTTAAAATAGAGGCTTTTTTTTTTCTCCAGCAGCATTTGCAATTTTTGCAGAAGCTAAAAATAGAATTTCATGATAATCAGTGGCTAGTTCTTTTATTTTTTCTCTTTTGTTTCGCTCTTCAAGAACAAAATAGCCAAAATGGCTATTTTTATTGTTCATACGACTTCTTTGAAGCCAACGATTTTCTTTTTGTATAAATGTGTCATAGTTTCGTCCACATTTTTTAAGATCCATTAATATAATAAAACTAATATATCAGAAACATTTTAAATTACTTTACATATTTTTGTTAAACGTTTTAAATTTTATTTTGTTATGACTTTTAACAATTTTCACATTGTTACATCCTTTAATAACACTATTTTACCCGGTGGGAAATGAGCTAGCGACTAACGAGCGACTAGCTGGCTTTTTTCCTATTCTTAGTTAACTTTATATTACAGGAAATTCTAAAGTTGTTCAATTAAGCTTTTTCAAACATGTCGTACTTATCGAATAATAAATGGTTCTTTAAAAATGTCAATAAATATTTTAATAAAACTCTAAATAATATATAATGACAAAAGCACGTTTTTTAAAACTATATTTAATATTTATGATTCAAAAACTATATTTGAAAAAGTTCTACAAGCAAAAAACTTAAAATTAAGTTTCACGCCAATTTCATTTGTTTGATATAATAAACTTCATAGCTAAATGGCGGAAAACAAGGTTTTTATGAAATCATCAACATTTGTTTTTCTTTAATAACTTCCAATATCGCAGGAGACCGCAGGAGATTTTCCAGCTTCTGTGTTAAAATATCTATTTCTTCCATTGACTTAGCTGGTAATGGAATACCTTCTGGAAGATCTGGAGAGATATGATCATTTAAATCAAGTTTGCGGCGGATAGATTGAATTTGTGCTGTATGCATTGCTTGAGTCTTTTTTATATCTTCCTGATTACTAATTACAGTTGCTAATTATTTTACTAAACGTTCTTATTTTACTAACTATTTTACTAAACATATTTTACTAAAATATTTATTTCAGTTAACATTATATTTTTATTATTATATTTCATTAGTCATTTATTTGAGTTAACATTATATTATATAATTGGCACAATACCTGTTAATAACTTATGATTAATTGTTTGAACAGGTGATGATTTGTTTTGAAAAGAGGCAGAATCTATCAATATACTTTTCGATTGAGAATATTTTGATGTTGAACTGTTACATCTACAAGAAATAATTTTGAGCTCAATACTAAATTAAACCAATGATATAACTTTAAACAAGTTAACAATTTATCAAAACACATATTATTAAGTATCAAATATATTATAACACTGGCGTATGTAATGGTAATACACCGAAACTAATTGATTTTATGTCCGGATACTTTTATTTTTAAAAATGAATTTCTGTCTATTAGCAAATATACAAGTGTTATAACAGTTTTTTTCTTTAATGAATATCCAGCATATCTGGCAAAAATAAATGGTTCATTAAATTTAGCCATTAATTAGATAATTGTATCAATACTTGTCTATTTCAAAGTCTAGTCTTGCAGCTGGTAAAACATTAGACTCGCAATTGCTCAACTCAATATCACTTCCATAACTGTAAAAGAAGTAGAGAATTAGCAGATTAATAAGCAGGTTTAATATATAAATAATTTCATAATGGTTAATTATAAATAAAGATGTTATTGTGTTATAAAGTGACAACAAATAGACTGTTACTTACAGATTCAGCAAATTTTCTTTTTTTGAATGAGTCTCTTTGTGAATAAATGGTGGAGTAGGTTTGTCTACTTGAGTAACACAAAAATCATTGGGTGTTCTTTTTTTGTGCCAAGTTTTCTTTTTACTTTATAAAAAAAAAAAGATTTGGATATATATCATTCTCATTATTAGGCTTTATACATAAAGCATATTAATAGATACAGTATCAATATAGTATACAGAGTATATAGTACAATATAGTATACAGAGTATTGGATATAGTAACAATAGATAAAAAATTAGTAAACAACTCTTTATAATAACCTTGGTATAATCTGATCATTATCTTCTCCTTCATTCTCAGAAGAACTAATCATTTTACACCTAAACAGTTTTATAAATACATAATAAAAATATTTCATATTTTTATTAATATTTATTAATAATTTCTGAAATTAAAGTTACCTTCTAACACGTTTCAATGCATTTTCTTCTGCTGTATCTAGGTTGGAGGTGTCCTCGGCTCTTTTCGCTTTTGACCGTGCTTCAGTAAGACTGTCTATAAATAAATTGAAAAACAATACATTAAATAACGTATTGTATTAAACTTGCAACACAGAGGCATTTTTTTAGCAATAAATTATTAATAAAATATAATTATAAAAGCATAACATTAATTTTACCTGCAATTCCTAGTATTCTAGCAGTAAATAAAGGCCAATGCACATCCGGATCCATTAGATTATTTTTAGCCTTTGCAATACTAGTTGGATTTAAATTTTTACCATTTGGCCAAAAGACTTTAACAGATACTTTATTTTTAACACTGGATGCAAGTGAATTGATGTCAACTCCACTTATCCAAGTTAGTGGCACATAATCTGTTGTATTAGTTTCATCGAATAAAACTATTGCATACATAATTATACTGTATCACAAAAACAAAATTAAAAAAATATACACCAGACTAGCCTCTTATGTTTGATCTGATATCATACAAGCCTTGCCGGGAAGTAAGAGGTATTGCTCTCACATCAACCTTTGAGCTTTGATTTATCAAATGATATTATAATATAATATACCATAAAAGTCATAATAATCATAAAATGTATTGTGTAATTATAATATATATCAAAGCTCAAAGAATGACGCAAGAGCTATAGCTCGCGCTTCCTACTAAGGCCTGTACATGTGAGTATATTATGTTTCTATTAAACTATTTATAGTAAATAATAATCGCAAAGTATCGATTAACATAATAATCGTAAAACTGAATAATTGCAAAACTAATAATGAAATAACAAAGTAATAACTTTATAAATAAGTCGAATACTATTTTTACTTATCAAAATATAACAATTTAGTAAAGTAATTGTATTGCACAAGTTATTTGATATACTAAAAAAAATGTATTTGTGGAATAACTACAAAGCCGTTTTTAAATGGTAGTTTAAAATATTTAATATTTAGTTCTTTTAAAAAAAATGTTGTTGTATTAAATGACACATTTTCCACATAATATATGGAAAAACTTGTTGAATCAAGAGGATCCATAAAAAAAGATTGCTTACGCTGAAACTCTTAGCAGACAACACAAGCATTAACCTCTGTGCAAATTACATCAGTTAATATGTTTTTGACTAAAATGATTTTATTATTAACACCAAAGCAGTTATCAGCAGTAGCAAGAGAAACCAGAAATTGTGGTCCAAAATATTGCTTGTATTGAATGTAATGACGTAATGGCAATGGTAGTGGACCTAGCAAGTGTTTTTGTCGAAATTTAGACGGTATACTGCTGCCCAATTTTGATTGTTGTAAATGACCTTCCAAAATTCGTCGCACAATTTGTGAGCAAGGTGATTTAGGTCGACGAACCAACTTTTTTAGTCTTCCCAAATAGCTTTCGAAAGGAAAACAAGACACATTATTTAACACGCCGAATTGCCTAGCATCATCTGGTAAGTGTATCAACGAATGAATATTGTAAACACACTGATCTTTTCCAAATAACAAGCAAAAATTATATACAAAATACTTTAATAAGTTTTCTACATAATTGAAGTAGTTGTAGTTACACAATGATGGTGTCATAAGTATGCGAATAGCTACAGAGAGACACAAAAAATTGGAATATACAGAATCAGAAAGAATACCTTTTAAAACAACAGGGCCAGTATATAACAAAAATTGTCTCAGTTCTGTAGCTTTCCATTGCTTAAACTCTAAAAGAGATCGAGGCTTTCGAGAAAACTCTCTAGGAATATAAGCTCGTAGAATAGCAAGTTTTTCAGATATAGCATCAATTGTTGATCTTGATAACTTATGCTCAGATCTACCATTGACTAACTGGTTTATATACCTGCGAACTGTTCCTAAAAATACTGAATGCATGCTATCAATTGGAAAACCACTAACTAATCCAATATTTAATTCCTCAATAGATGACATACGTGAACCATCATGATGATTTTTATCTGCTTTGTTTTTAAAAGTGATGTCCGATCTCAGAGGTGCGGCTAAATTGGGCATAATGACTTTGCCATACCACTTACCTTTTTGAAAGCAGCGTTCACAAGAATGATATGCATTATGTGGTTTAATGCACTTTACAAATGCTCTGGCTGGTGCATCACAAATAAAAGCCTCTAACTTTATTAAATAGTGCTTCCCAGTTGCCACACAAACAAAACCTATTCGTTCTAATATTTTTATTTCAGCAACAAAATCTTTTAAATAATCCTGCAATGAGTTAGGCTTTGTTTTACCAAAATAAAGTGCAAGTGGAAAAGGATACCAATCAGCATCTCGAACAGAGCAAAGAATAGGCCACAAACTGGCAGTTGAGCTATTAAATAATGGCACTCCATCTATATTTATATGCAGACACAATTTACTAATTTCAGACCTGATAGGATACCTTTCCATTAAAATAGAAAGCCAATGTTTTAATCCAAAATAGAAATATTCTCCGCCTGCAATACTTTTTATAGTGATGCTTCTTTCAGTTTGCAACAAACTTCTTGCATCCTTTGGCAAATCAGGATGTGATTGTCTTAACAATGAAAGCAAATCTGAACATGCATTATGTGAAATGTTAAATTTTACAACCCATGTTTGTAACTGACTCTGAAGGCAATCATTATTGACATCGTACTCTACAGCTTCGTCTTCATTGTGACTTACTAAGCTAGTTGTTTCATCTTGGTTTTCAAATTTACTGCCTGTATCATATAAGCATATTTCAGTTTGTGCTGGAATATCATCAGCCCTAATAAGCTCGTTATCACGAGGCATAACTTTATCATTATTTTGATAATTGTGTTCATTGTTATAAATATCATTATTACTATGACTGTTACAAATTTCTGAAAAATCATCAACATTGTCATCATTTTCATTAATACACATAGAATTGTTTTGAGAACTAGCATCAGAAAATATTCTATTAACAACAGCATTTATTTTCCTCCTTTTTGTAGAATATGAGTATAAATTATTAGCCATTCTGAAAATAAAGAAAAGCAGAACTGTAATAAACTAAAATAATTTAAATTAACAAACAGAATTTAAATTAACAGTAAATTAGTAATAGAATACAATGCTGTAATAAATATATAAACTATATATAAGACTAAAAATTACCATAAGCCTTCTATATATATAGTATATATATATAAAAGGCTACAAATATCTCAAACCTTTGATAAATGGAACTTCCAGTAACTAATTTTGAATACTTGAACTAAAATCTTATTTCTATTATAATCATGATAAATTTAACATTCGCTAACTCAAACTAATTTCTTGGTCCCTTGGAGGTTCAAGTTATCAGAAGTTTGCTGTATATAGGTATAAATATGTAGAACTTTGTCAATCATATAAGTTACCAAGAGCATTGAGCATTCCCAAGAGCAAGTTTAGCACTTTATATAATGTTCTTTATATAAAAAAGGTTATATAATATGTAATATATAATATAATATATATAATATATATACACACAAATGTATGTGTGTGTGTATTATATTGTCTTTAGAAGCAAATAAAATCTACTTGCTTGATCTGTTTCGAGAATTTTAAGTCTTGAGGCCTATCAGTTATCAGTTTATCTTTTTCAGATATTATTAATAGAAAAAATTAGCACTTGCCATATTTTAACTATTAATTAACTAAAGATTAACAATAGATAACAAATGATACTAAAATTATTATATTTTAATACTGTGGTATTACCATTTTTAGGTGCATAACTAAAATGTCGTTAACTAACTTTTGAAACTAAGTTTTATTAACTAACTTTTTAAATTATAAAAGTTATATAAAACTAACATTGGTTTCAAACAAGTGTTTTAAACAGTGTAGTTTGAAATCTATATAAATCCTATACAAACATCCAACTATAAATAAGAAAATTATTATGAATAATTTCATGAATTATCTTAAAAAATTTTATTATATTTTTATAATTATTATAAAATTTTATAAAAACTATATAGAATTATATAAAAAATTATATATTTAACTAAAATGAATCATTTTAATTAAAATACTATAAAATAAGTTGCACGTTGCGAACCGATTAGCCATTTTTATTTTGAAAATAACTTTTTTCAATTCCGCCTCGATATCAAAAAATGTAATACCGTGTTTATTGCTTTCCCATATGGGTCCCAGACCGAGCCCATAAAAAAAGCCCTCGCGTATCCCATACCAGATACCCAGACGACTCCCATACGGTACCCATATGCGCTGGTTGCCTGGGTATGTTTATATATATATTTTTTTATATATTATATATATATATATATATTTTTTTTTTTTGTGCCGTTTATGTATGTTTACATTAAAGACATAATATTACATTTATAAAAATTACCCGGAGCAAGAAGAAGACAATGACTGTCTTATCACCGAGCCCCGATTACAAATTTTTCGTGTTTATAAACAATTATCAATAAAATATACAAAAAAACGTTAAATAGTGCATAACTTTTGTCAAATAATAAAATGACAATTATATTAAAAATTTACAAATAAAAAACGTTTTGTATACTAATACAAATATATTTGATACATATAACCAAATATATTTAGTGCTAATGGAAGCGTTTTTTCTATTTTAAAATTACTTTTTAAAAAAAATATTATATTTATTAAAATCTAAATGAAGTAAGATTCTTTTAGAAACTGTTTTAAATTTTTCTAAAGAGTTGTGTTCTTTGATAGAGTTTTTTAATAAAAATTTTTCATAAAAAGGTCCTCGATATTGAATTCGACAAGTACTGATTTTTAGATTAATTCTCGGAACAATAAAGTTATCCTCTAAAATCTTTGTTGAATACTGATGAGATATTTCGCTTAAATAAGATTGAAATGTAAGTGGAGATATTTCATGTTTCATTTTAAACATCAAAAGTAATGTTTAGTAAATGTTTAGCTTATAAATGTTTAAGGCCTTGAGACGATTTAATAGCGGTTCGCAATAAACAGTTCTGTTTTTACCCCAAAATACAATCCTACAAGCATGCTTTTGTTTACTATAAAGTTTTTTGAGTTTTCCGTAATTCGTACTTCCCCATGCAATGTTGCAGTAAGTAAAATAGCTGTGAGTAAATAAAAAATAAGTTTTTCTTTAGAGCATTTGCGTTTAAAAATGGTTTTGTTTTATAAAGTACGGAAATATTATAAGAGATTTTACTTTCAATAGATTGGATGTGAAACTTCCATGACATGGTTTCATCAAGAATTACGCCTAAAAAGTTAACAATAGATTCCCTTTTTACATTTGTTTTATTGAATAAAAGATTTAGCAGTTTAAGTGGAATATTTTCAACTTTATTTGGTTTGTGGAACAGGATGAATTTAGTTTTATCTACATTTAGTGAAACGCGGTTACTTATAAACCATTCATTTACTTTCATTAAACTAACTT